CCAGTTCATTCTTTGTCTGCTTTGTTTCCGTATTTTGCCATTAAAAAAGTGTATGCATTGTGTTTTAAATGCAGGAAAGTGAAGCTCATCTATTTTTTCTTTCCTAACTCTGAGCTGTTATGTTTTGATTTAAAAGCTTGTCTAATTCCAGGACTGTGCTCCTGTTTTCCTAAAATATCTTCAAAGATTCTTATTACCTATTTTTTATATGCCTGGAATGCATTTTTATTTTTGTATTCAGTGGCATTAAAGTGTAGTGGTTAAGATCACAGACTCTGGTTCTGTTGTTACCCATGTGACCTTCGACAAGTTACTTAGCATTTTTGTGCTTTAATTTTCCTCTCCTGAATGGGAATGACAGTAAGACCTATCTCCTCAGGTCGTAACGAAGCTGAAATGAATTTACAAGATTGGAAAATAGGGAAGATGAGTGTTTCAGATAGTATCTGGTACATGGAAACATAAATGTTGACTATTATCTGATGTATGTATCTCATTTTTTCCCCCATATGACTAGGATAACAGTTGTCCTGATAACATTTATGGAATAGTTCATTCTTTTCTCCGGTTGATTTAAAATGTCATCTCTATTGCACAATGCATTTTAAGATATGTACTTCTCTGTTTTTAGGCTTTATAGCCGATTTCATGACTTTTTTTTTAATCCCCTGTTCAAGAACTATAATGGCTTAGTTACAAAATATTTATATTTTGTAAATATTGTTAACTGATGAATGAAGTCCGTTACTTTGTTCTATAAAAGTATTTTGGCTTTTCTTGGCTTTCTTTTACTATGTGTGTGTATATGTGTGTTAACCCAGGAGTGCTGTACTACTGAGATACACTTCCAGCCTTTTTAAAATTTTTATTTTGAGTCAGGGTTTCTCTAAGTTGCCAAAGTTAGCCTTGAACTTGGAATCTTCCTGTCCTCCACTTCTGAGTTGCTGGGATTACAGACATGCACCATGGAGCCTAGCTCTTCCATATAATTTTTTAAAAACTCACCAGAATTTATAAAAACTCTGTTCGTTATTAAATCTTAGCACAAGAGAGAGTGATACTAATTGGCTAGGGTTAGAACGGAACCTGTGATCTTATTAATACTTTGACTAGTGGAAGTTTTTAGAAATTATCTAGTTATATAATCTAGAGGTTGCTATCATCCACTGTGTTAGGTAGATACTGAAATATGGTTGAATAAAACAGTGCAAAAAGGTAGATCTCTAGCCTGTAGTTCACAAACTGTACCCTAAGATACCCTAGGGTACCTCAGAGAACTTCCAGGCATAATTCATACTTTCTACGGAAACAGCAACATCTGTTGAACACTGCAAGATGCTTTGAATATTCTGTTTTCCGACTTTCATTTCATTGCTGTGATTCTTTGTGAAATTGGGCTTTTAGTTTTTGCTGTGATAAAAAGAAAGTGCCATGTAGAAATCATTGTGGAATAGGAAATGTATGTGGCAGTATCTAAAATAATTCCTGAATTTGAGAAGATGTGTAATGCCCAATAGGTGCATATATCCCATAATAACTGATTGTGGTTATTAAAAAAAGAAATTAGAGTTTTTTTTCAGTTAATGTGTATTATTTTTTCAGAAGGTTACTACTAACTTGTTAGGACAGAAATACTTATCATTTGTATGCCCTTAACTTTTTTTCATTTTTAAAATTCTTATTAATTATACATGACAACAGAATGTATTTTGACATATTATACAAATATGGAGTATAACTTCTCATTCTTTTGGTTGTACATGTTGTAGAATCACATTGGTCATGTAATCACACAGGAAAGTAGTGTCCAATTCATTCTACTGTCTTTCCTATTCCTATTGCCCCCCCCCCCCCACCAATTCCCTTCATTCCCCTTTGTCTAATCCAAAATACTTCTATTCTTCCCTATCTCTCCTCCCTCACCTCCTTATTGTGAGCTAGGATCCACATATTAGAGAGAACATTTGGCCTTTGGTTTTGGGGGATTAGCTTATTTAACTTAGCATGATAGTTTCCAGTTCCATCCATTTACTGGCAAATGCCATAATTTCATTTCTTTTTATGGATGAGTAGTATACCCTTGTGTATGTATATGTGTGTGTGTATATGTATATATGTGTGTGTGTGTGTATATGTATGTATATATATATATATATATATATATATATATATATATATATGCATACATACATATACCATATTTTTTTCCCACTCATCTGTTGAAGCATACTTAGGCTGGTTCCATAGTTTAGTTATTGTGAATTGAGCTGCTATGAACATTGATGTGGCTGGGTCACTATAGTAACACCTAAATATTAAATAAATGGAACTGTTAGATTTTCCTTTTGGCCTAGGGAATTTGTGAACAAATGTACTGAGAAAATAAGCACCAGGAGCTAAGAAAGTTTCAGAACCTCTCTGCCTTAACAAATATGTTGTTACTGTTTAAAGATTAAGAACATTTGAGGTGCTGTGTGGATAAAGGATATGCTATGCTTGCATGTAATAGGGTGAACCAATCTTTCTGGGCACTGGGGATAGACAGCACTTCAGGGAAAGTTATGTTTAAGCTGAGCCCGAAGGAAGCCAAGGTGTTGACTGGAGAGAAAGGTAGTGGCAGGACTAGTTGGTGCAAAGGGGACAGAAGCTTGAGGAGGACCAGTAGGAGAGTGAGTGATGGCAAGGGGGCAGGAGATAGGCAGAGGCCAGGTCACATAGTGGAGGTCCACTTAAGGAGTTTCTTTAGACTTTCACATAAAAGGCAGTGGTAAACCTTTTGATAGGTTTTAGGCGAAGAGAGAGTATCTTAGATCACTGCCATCCTACTAGAGCAATAAAATACAAAAATGATATCCATAAATATTTAAGTAATGCTATGTATTCTAAATAATATAGAATGAATTTTTTTTGGTAAAAATTTGAAATGCCTTTCTTTCTAATATTTTTTTAGTTGTCAACAGGCAACTATTTATTTTTATGTGGAGCTGAGAATCAAACCCAGTGCTTCATACACACTAGGCAAGAGCTCCGCCACTGAGCCACAATCCCAGCCCGTAAAATGCCCGTATTTTCAAAGGCATTTTATAAGCTTCCCTATGAATACAATTTTACCTTATTTTTTTGACTATATGTAGTTTTTTGTTCAAGTTGGTTTTTAATGGATATGGATTTTTAAAATGAAAAAATCAAAGCAAGGCAGAATGTTAGACTATAATATGTTTAAATTGATATATATATTGGTATTTTAAGTGGCAAAAGTTTGAATTTAAAAAAAAGTTTTGGGTTTTGTTTATTAGTATCTGTAATAAAATATTTGAAATAGTTAATTTGCACATTTGACTGCCAACCTAATACATTTATTTCTTTTAAGTTCCTGTATTTAAATTCAGGTGTCATTATAAAGATGTAATAGTTATACAGGAAAGAAAAAGAACCATAATTTAAGCTATGATATTGTACTTCCCTTTTGCTTACATTTTGATTTATTTTACTCTAGTATTAGTATATTAATGCAATATAAAAATTTTAATAGTAATAAGAAAGAAAATAATGCAGGTTACTTTTGAAAAAAATTCTTAAGCTCATTTTTCAAGAGTTTTGGACTTGAGAAATGTATTTCATAGTCATAAAATGGGGATGGAGATGTGAAATTCTTTTCTAACATCCCTTTGTTATGTTTGGAGGTGGAGTGATAAGTGATTGGATTTGGAATTGATATTTGCTTATTGCTATAAGCAATTGAATATTAATTGAATATTAAATAATTGAATATCATTACTTCTGCCACTGTATTTCATACTTTTTAGAACTAATCACTCATTTTATAGTTCAAAATCAGTGCCATTCTTAAATTCATAATGTAAATTATAAGTAAGGGATGTGTTTATGTATTTGAGAAACAGTCTTACTGTCATTTTTTGGACTAGACTTCTCTGATGAAGAAACTTGATTATGATTTGAGCTATTTATAGGCAAGGTAATCAGCAAGAGTTTTGTGTGTGTGTGTGTGTGTGTGTGTGTGTTTTAAGGAAAGAGGTAAAGCTCTAAGTTGGAAAACTTTCCCTGAGATAAAGTTTGTAATAAATGTTTTCTTTAAATTTTGTTCTTCGCATGTTTAAAGAATTGACCAGACACTTAGAAAAGTTTCTGATTTCTCCTGTGTTCTTTACATCAAAGTGAATTCTAGATGAAAATTAAATGTAGAAAATGAAACAATAAAATTAAGAGAACAAAAGCAAGACTAAAATTTTTTATAATCTTGGGATAAAGACCTTTGTAATTCTACCAGATTTAATTTTATGTAGTTTATAATTTTTTATTTTCTTATAAGAAAAATTGGAAGGCCAAATAGAAAAAGGATATTCTCAAAATGTGATAGCCATGATCAAAGATTGCTTTTTAAAATTTTTTTTTAAAGTTGTTGATGGACCTTTATTTTATTTATTTTTACGTGGTGCTGAGAATCAAACCCAGTGCTTCACACATGCTAGGCAACTGCTCAACCACAGAGCTACAACTCCAGCCCCAAAGATTGCTTTTAATTCAATAGAATAAATAATCTATTAGAAAATGCAGAAGAGCTATTAATAGTGAATTTGTGAACAGAATATAGGCAGTCAGTAAACATAAAAAGCTTAACAAAGAATTGTTTCAATTTTCTGCTTCATGTTCTATAGAAAATTTCACTTTGCATACACCAATTTTAAATATTTATAAATCCATTGTGGAGTTTGAAATAAAACTTTTAATAGTTACATCATCTAAGAAGACTTATCTCAAATAGAAGGTTTTCTTTTTTGATGTTCTAAATGAGTCAAATTCGACTTTGCTAATAAGAAGTAAATTTTGCTTATTAGATATTCAGAGTAAAGTGATTATATTTATGTATCATACCTAAAGAATATAAGTGCTTAGAAATAATTTGTGAACATGTTTTAGTTTCTTACAGAAGTGGTAGGAGGAAGTTTTGCCTAATTTGTTCTTTTTCTTTATTCTTGTAGGTGCCAGCATTCGAACATTCACTCCATTTTATTTTCTGGTGGAACCAGTGGATACACTCTCGGTTAGAGGCTCCTCTGTTATATTAAATTGTTCAGCATACTCTGAGCCTTCTCCAAAAATTGAATGGAAAAAAGATGGAACTTTTCTAAACTTAGTATCAGATGATCGACGCCAGCTTCTTCCAGATGGATCTTTATTTATCAGCAATGTGGTGCATTCCAAACACAATAAACCTGATGAAGGCTATTATCAGTGTGTGGCCACTGTTGATAGTCTTGGAACTATTGTCAGCAGAACAGCCAAGCTAACAGTAGCAGGTAAGTTTTATTAAGTGATTTGCTTGCAAATCATATTTTTATATAGGATAAATCTAAATAAAAGCATTTCTTGGAGTTTTCATTTAATTGATAAAAGAACATTTAACAAATAGTATAGTACTATGTTAGGGCTTGTTCAGTTCTGTATGGAAGAAGCTAGTAGTTTTTGGTACTGGGGATTGAACCCAGGGGTGCTTAACCATTGAGCCACATCCCTAGCCCGTTTTTTTATTTTTTGAGACAGGGTCTTGCTAAGTTGCTTAGGGCCTTGCTAAGTTGCTGAAGCTATCTTTGAACTTGGTATTCTCCTGCCTCAGATTCCTGAGCCACTGGGATTAGGCATATGCCACAATGTCCAACTCAGCTTGTTTTATGGTATAGTTGGTATCAGAGGTATGACAGTTTTTTTTTTTTTTGTTGTTGTTGTTTGTTTGTTTTGTTTTGTTTAATTTATAACTTGGAAATGGCAGAAGCTATATAGAAAAACTGTATCACTTTGACAGCTGACTTTTATCCTACCAAGCATAATAATTTGGGATAGTTTTCTGAAACTTATAGTGAAGCCAGAATCCTGGTGCCTTTATGCCTTAACCAAGGGATGGGCATATAATTAACTAATTGAAAATTTATAGCGCGTGCGCACACGTATATATATTAAGGTGAAGAGCAGAAACTTGTAAAGGGAAGAATATTCACTCCCTTTTGGAACATCCTTATTTGAATAATGATGAAAAGTGTTAAGAGAAATTAAGAATCTAGAGAAATAAGATGTGGTTTCTAAATAAGTCATGTCTGCTTTGTAGTGAACACGAGTGTTTCTTAAGATACATATAGTGATCCTTTAGTTGAATTCCAAATGAAGTAGTTTTTCTTAAGGGTCATGTTTTAGAAAATGGAATTTCCTGTAAATCCTGTGTTTATTCTCACTTGATGAAATGCTGGCATATGAGAATGGAATCTCACTGGATTGAGACAGTAGTCTCCTATCTCTTTCTCTCTTTCGAGTTATAGTTGCTGATCTCCTACTCACTCCAGATCGTATTGCTCATTCATTCAGAGGATGATAACTCTTTTTGTCTTAAGAGTTAAATACTCAAAAGTTGAATTGGGTATGACAAAAAGACACTGTAATTATTCCATAATCACAAATTGAAGATGCAAAAATCAGAGGAGAAAAATAAATGGTCTCTTTGGCAATTTTCCATTTTTCATTTTCCTCCTTTCTCTCATCCTTCCTTTCTCTCACCCATCTGCCATGCTTTCTCCAACGTGTATGATAAATAAACTAGCATAATGACTTCTACAGTGTCATTATGGCTAGGCTTCTGGTTATTATTTATGTTCTTAAATATTTTTTATCTGAGTTTTACTCATGACTCCTTCCTCTCAACTGTCCCCTACATCTCATCACCAAATCCACTGAATTCTGCCTCCCAATTTTTCTGTATCATTATACTTTCTTCTTCTTGAGACAGCTCCTCAACTTCCCTTACCACAGCCTTGTATCTACTTGTCTGCCATCTCATTCTTTCTTCCTTCAATCTAGTCTCCACACTGTGGTCAGAGCACTTTCTCACCCTTCAGTGGTTCATTTAGATAATAACACTGCTATTATCTAAACCCTTTAACCCTTTTAAAGGCCTCATGGTTCTTTTTTCAAGCTGGTACCTATTTCTCCAGGCTAATTTCTTATCATTTTATCCCCCTTACCACTGGTACTACCACATGACCCTCAGCACAGTTTTAGCACTAGCAGTGCTGAATATTTTGATCTTTATTTATTTTTTTCACTTATTCTCTGCCTTGACCTTTGCTCCTGGCGGTTCTATCCCCCCCCCCCCTTTTTTTTTTTTTGGTCCGTTTTCCACCAGATTTAGCTCTCATGTTCTTCAGGAAACATTTTTGACACAGTATCTTAGCAGACAGTTTTAATGTAATCCTTAGTACAGGGGAGGGAGGAGGAGAGGAAGGGGAGAGTTCTGTGGTCACTGTAGGGTTCTGTAGGAGAGTTACTTAACCCACTCTTGGCCTGGATATATCTAAAGGATGAATGGAAGTGCTTTTTAATAGTTGCATCGGATGTATTGTATTTGTGATTTATTCAGTTATTTTTTGATGAGTTGTATGTGTGTTAAAATTGTTGGATGGTATAGATAATACTGTAGTGAACTGCTTTCTGCTTTTTTGCAAATCTTCATTTCTGTAAACTAGATTACTAAAATTGGGATTGCTGGATCATAGGGCACCTTGTTTGTGTGTGGATGTTTGTCATTTCATCAAAATGTTAACTATAGAGTTACCATAAGATCCAGCAGTTTCATTCCTAAGGTATCTGTTCAAGAGAAATAAAAAGTTACATCCACACAACAATTTGCACATGACTATTCATGGCAGCATTATTCATAATAGCACAAAAGGGGAAATAATCTAAGTGTCCATCAAGTGGTGAATGAGTATCAGAGTCTGGTTTGTTCATACAATGGAATATTCTTCAGCAGTAAGAAGAATCGAAGTCTTAATTCATATGACATCGTGGATGAACTAAAAATATTATGCTGGGTTGAAGCAGGTCATAGGGCTGGGAATGTGGCTCAAGCGGTGGTGCGCTTGCCTGGCATGCGTGCGGCCCGCCTTCGATCCTCAGCACCACATACAGACAAAGATGTTGTATCCGCCGAAAACTACAAAGTAAATATTGAAGGATCTCTCTCTCTAAAAAAAAAAAAAAAAAAAAGAAGCAGGTCATAAAGAACCACATTCATGTGATCTCATATACAGGAGTTGTCAAGAATTGGCAAATCTATACAGATTGAAGGTAGATTAAGTCATTTTCTCAGGCTGACCTAGGGATGGTCTAGTGGTGATGAGGGATAGGGAGGGGAATAATACACGGAATGGGGAGTGAGCAAGGTTTCTTTTGAGAATGATAAAAAGGTTCTGAAATTAGATGTGAATGGTTGCACACCTCTTCATATATGAAAAATTCATTGAATTGTATACTTTAAATGTGAACTTTCTGGTATGTAAATTGTATATCAATAAGATAATTTTAAAAAATGATACTGTCAAATTACCATTCTAAAAGACTCTTTTAGAGCTTTTTATATGCAAACACTCAAACTGATTCCAGCTAAGTTTAGCAAGCAGGGAAGTTCTTGAAAGAACATTAAATAGATAGTTCATAGAATTAAACATAAGGCTGCTTTTTCTCTGGGCTGTATGATTTCTCCACAACAGAAATTTCTGCTTTCCTGCCTAGAGAATACCCTGGCTGTGGGTGATATTTTGTGCCCCATGGTGGGAGAAATGAGAATACAGTTGTTGTTAATACCTTCTTGCCAATTCTATGTCTTAACTTTCATTTCTTTTTTCTTCTGCAATTTCTTCTCTTGAAAGGCAGTAGGACAACTGACTTCCCTCATGTGAGTACAGGAAGCAGCAGCATTCTCTGCCTTGATATGTCAGTTGCTGGTTGCCCCATCTGCTTTTCCTATTCAGAAACTTTTTGAAATTTTTTGCCTGCCAGTTCCCCATATGTTGTTGTGGGTTTATACTTTTAAAAATTACTCATTTTTATAAGACCTCAGAAGTCCTTTTAACTTTAACAAAATAGAAGCAGTTTTTGGTTTTATTTAAGATTCCTTTTTCCCCTGACTTCATTAGATTTTGGATCTATCTTGGTCAATCCCTTTTTTCCTGGTTTTCTTCTGGTTGCTTAAAAGTAGATATTAGAATAATTTTGCCTTTATTTCATTTCTTCAAAAATCACCTTGAAATTAAAAGAAAAAAACAAGGAAAAATTGTGCCAGGGCTAGAAAACCCATACGTTATTTATATTTGGAATGATTTACCATCATAAAACTAGAAAATCTGTAATTATTTTTCATAATTTGTTTTCTGGTCCTTAAACATTTTGCTGTGTTCAGAGCATAGGTTCATGAGTCACTTTTTAGATATTGTTAAAACAGTAGTAGCTAGTGAGTATTTATGCAATAAGCAGTATATTATATGTAAATTATTTACGTTAGATAATTTTTAAAATGTGACCCTCTGAAGCCTATTGTTTTTCTCGTTTTACTGATGGCAAAATTGAGGCTGAGAGACAGGCGAAATAGCTTGCCAACTTTGTAACAGCCATGAAAGATGGTGTTGGAATTGTATTCAGGCATGTGACTCCAGAACTGACCCTGTCTGTCTCTTCATTCTGTGGCATCTATAGAGCTCTTATGACCACAGTTTTTGGTTAACATTTTATTTGAAGTAATTTTAAACTTAAGGAATAGTTTCAAGAATAGAACAAAAAGATCTCATGTAACTTCTTCCAGATTGCCCAGTTGTTAACATTTTACCACATCTGTTGTGTCATTCCCCAAGTATGTATTTTTTCTGAACCATTAATAGTTGTAAGTTGCAGACATGTTGCCCCTGTTACCCCTACCTGAATAACATCGGTGTATGTTTGCTAAAAACAGGAACATTTTCCTAAATAATGACAGGCATCCATCAAAATCAGAAAATTAATCTCAATACAATACTACCATTTAATTTAGATTTCACATTGTCTCGGTAATGTTTATTATAGTAAAAAACAAAAGCTGAAACTTTGCCATCTTCTTTCCTGTTGATCTAGGATTACATGTGTCATTTGTATCTCTTGGACTCTTTTGGTATTACATTATTCCAGATTTAGCCAGAAGAAACTCCCTTCAATCTTGATTTGTATGTGTCTTTTTATACATACCCATTGTTATTCGAGTAGTTCTTTACTGTATGTTATGAGTTTTTACCTTATATCATAAAGGAAGGAACCCGGTTGTTCTTGTACTTTTCCTGATCTGGTCCTAGAATCAGCCATTTCTCCAAGAAGCGCCGATTCCTTGTAGTGGAGAATATTATTTGGAAATAAGGATAAAGTCACCATATGTACTTATTGCTACTGGAGTGACACTGATTCTGGATCCTCTGTATGGAATATAATAATATAAATACATATGTATAAGCTGTGTGTAAACTATATGCATATTTCACAAATAGTTTTATATCTGTATATTATATCTACATATAGTTCTGTATCTGTAGTTATATAAAGCTATGAGTTTATCTGATGTCTTTATTGTAGACCAATACCTTGGAATTTATTCTATCCTTGTCCTTTTCCATATTTGTAATATTTGCATCTTTTCCTACTGTGAGGAATCTTGACTACAATTATCCTTGGTACATTTAACTTATTTACTCTTTATTCCTGTATGTAGCCGGTTTCGTGATGCATGGACCTTCTTGATCCTGATGCTACCATATGTTGTGGCCACATGGCCTGACTTGCTCTTGGCTCCCTTGACTAAAGTTTTAAGTAATAGTTAATTACTTTTCCCCCCCCCTTTTCCTTTATTGTCCAGGACTTCCAAGATTTACCAGTCAACCAGAACCTTCTTCAGTTTATGCTGGGAACAGTGCAATTCTGAATTGTGAAGTTAATGCAGATTTGGTTCCATTTGTGAGGTGGGAACAGAACAGACAGCCCCTTCTTCTGGATGATAGAGTTATCAAACTTCCAGGTGGAACGCTGGTTATCAGTAATGTGACTGAAGGAGATGGGGGACTATATCGCTGCATAATTGAAAGTGGTGGGCCACCAAAGTACAGTGATGAAGCTGAATTGAAAGTTCTTCCAGGTATTAACTCATTATCAGAACTGATGGTTTTGTGTTTGTAAATGGATAAAAAAATTTTTATTTAAAAAAAAATAAAAACTGTTAATATGTGGTGTAATGTATTAACTATCAGTAAAAGGAGTCTCAGTTTTTTACAGGAGTAAAAAAAAAATAGGCCAGAACAATCCACTCTTTAGTGAATATATTATTAAAATTATCAAGTAATAAAGTATGTGCCATATCTAATTGAATTCTTCTTGGTTGAAGATATTTAGCCCTATGTCTTTGGTCAAGCTGTTGTTTCTCCCCACAACAGAGTATGGTTATAATTAGGTCATTTTTACTTGTAAGAATTTAAGACTAACTCAGGCTAGTTCTTATAAAGGATGGGTAAGGTGGTAACTTAATGTGGTAGCTTTGGAGACACTAGCAAATGAGAGCTCTTGCTTCTCTATTGTGCTGCTCCCCCCTTTCATGTAAACTCAGCTCCTCTTTCAGTGTTGCCTGTTTTTTTATGTGTCTTCTCATTCTTTCTGCCCCTACTGGCTTTGCTCATAATTGGTTTTGTATGTATTTTCTCAGCTGTCCAGCTTCTCCCTTATGCTTAACCTCCTCTCACTGTGGCTCATTATAGTCCCTCTACTTCCTTGATATTTCGTGACCTTTCAGTGTCTATTCTCATTGCTGGGTGCCTGATCGTTTCCATAGTTCTCATTTCAGATTCAAGTTTATGAATATAATTGGGCCATCCCTACATTGTTTGGGCAGAGATTGTGGTAATATAGGACTACTTTATAGGCTTATTTTTAACCTATGGACTGCCTTACAAAGTGAAACCTGTTTTATGGGATGTGACTTTTGACGGTGTTCCCAATGGGCCTTGAACTAATGCTTTAAAATGCAGCTTGTTTCATTTTTGTTACCATCCCTGCCATTTAATTCCTGTCTCAGTGTTTCTTAATTTTTAATTATTATTTTTTGCCATATGTGGGATTGAACCCATGGCCTCATGCATGCTAGGCAAGTACATCCCGTCTCTGTCTCAGTGTATTCTCAGCAACCCCAGTTATCTTTGCTCAAAACCAGTGGTTTTCCATGTCACTTAAAGTTCTTGGTCTGTTCAACTTTATGTAATCTTTTCACTTCCCTCCTTTGCCCCTCCCTTCCAATTCCTGATCTTCTCTCCCTCACTCTGTCATTGTGACCACCTTATGCTTATAGAAAATTCCAAATGTTTTTACTTCAGAGGTTTTCTACTTGCCATTTTCTATGCCTGGAATCCTATATACCTGGCTCACCCTCTTATCTCTGCTCAGATATCAGTGAACCTTCCTTAAATATTCTGATTAAATAACAGCCTTCTGTTTCCACCTCCAGTGCTTCTCCTTCCTCCTCAATTTTACTTCAGAACATATCATCATCTGACATATGTGTTGTTTGTTGTCTCTCCCCCCGCCATTAGTATGTAAGGTCAACAAGAGTAGGGGATTTCATGTCATGTGAAGAATGGTTCCTGGCACATAGACACCAATACATATTTGTTACAAATTTGTTTATTTGAGTCTATCAAAGTTCAGTTAAATATGTGTAAGTAATTAAGTGTGGGGGAAAAATTATTGCCAAAAGCAGTGTCCTTCATTCTACTTCCTTTGGGCCCTGCTTTTTTTTTTGGTTGGCACTGGCAATTGAACCCAGGGCCTAGCATGTGCTAGTATTCTACCACTTAGCTATATCTCCAGCTCTTTTGTGTTTTGAGATAGGATGGCCTCTGAATCCTCCTACCTCAGCCTCCTGACCATTCTGTTCCTGACTTGTTTATTTGACATGGTAGATTTCTTCTTTACACCTAGCATAGCATTCAAGCAAATTCTCAGAATTTGATTCAAGAAAACAAGGTTTTCAGTGTCAAAGGATGAGACCATTACTCGATATCTAAAGCAAAAACAGTGCTAGATATTTTGCTGACTGAAGTCTAGGAGAGTTTTGCTTGTCAGACAGTCTTCTCAAGAAAAGCTGATTGCTGATCTTCTATAGTTTTTTTTTTTGTTGTTGTTGAAGGCATTGTTTTGGTTTGTATATATATAAAGAGGCAGAGGCAGGTTACAGCAGTGAATGACTTTGCCCTTGATTGATTGACTTTTAAAGCCCAGGATTGTCACTTATTGGTTGGCTTTCAAAGGCACATTCCCTGAAGTGAGGTGTCATTAATCTGTTAGGCAGTGGTTACTTGTTACCATGACTAAAGAACCATAATTAATGGACTGGACAAGTTTAAAACCATTTCTGGTAGTTGTTACCATGGCCCATAGAACACCTTTTCCTAAGTGTGGTGACATGGCTTATATCCCTCTGCCTCAGACTGGTCTTTTTTTTCCACTCAAAATTAACATTAAGTTAATATCACCCTATTAAATAAAGAACTTTATCTTTTACCCACAGGAGTATAGCCTTTTCACATTTCCACAAGAGGTCAGCTCTATAAAATGAACACATTAATTCTTTATCTGAATAAAGGATACACAAATACAGTAGTAACTTTAGTTTGCTGCATTACAGAATCAAGGATTGACAGACTAAGTGAGCAAGTTAATGAGATGAAACACAGAAATATTTTCAGAAATAATAAATCCAGGGAAGGACAGGAAACCTCTCATATCCCTATGAGTAGGAGAGAATTTCAAGAGTCCTGAACTTGTTCATTTTCTCTACTGTTTGAACCACTCGTGACATTAATGTTGTAAAATAAAGAGGATCCATGTCAAATCTCCCTTGTTGACCAGTAAGTAAATTTAATCTAAAGGCAGGAACTATAACTTTTTTGCTTTAAGATCCCTAAACAGCCTATCACAATGCTTTGCATATAGAAATTATTTGATAAATGTTTGCTATTTTAAATAGATTTTTTTTTTCTTTTTTTCAGTTGTAGATAAATGCAATACTTTTTTTAATTTTATGTGATGCTGAGGATCGAGCCTCGTGCCTCACATATGTGAGGCAAGTGCTACACCACTGAGTCACAACCCCAGCCCTAAATGTAATTTTCTTGTGTCACTTTTGCTTAAAATATTTTGTCATAAAAAGCCCCACAAGACTGAATAGGAGTTAGACATTCCTTATGACTAACTGATAAAGTGCTTTGTCTTTTATTTAAATTCTTTTTAGATCCTGAGGAAACACTCAGCTTGGTATTTTTGAAACAACCTTCTTCCTTAGTCAGAGTCATTGGTCAGAGCACAGTGTTGCCATGTGTTGCTTCAGGACTTCCTGCACCAGCCATGAGATGGATGAAAAATGAGGAGACACTTGACACAGAAGGGTAAATGTTGTCTGCCTAAAAACCTTTTTCTGTCTGAGCTTGAGACCATCTAATCCTTTTTGGAACTATTATTAATAAAAAATGATTACTTTATTTAAACACATTATAATGCTCATATGTCATCCTTGAAATATGTTCATGTGCTGTATATTATTATGATATTTAAAGAAAAAACATGCTTTCAAAATATTAAAGGATAATCATTCCATTTGTTCTTTCTGAAACTTTGATATACTTAACTTACAGCTTTGGGGTTTCCTTCCCTAAATTGTTTCAAGAACTTGTAGTCTCAACTAGCCTGAGTCTTCTCTTTCATTCTTATCATTTTTAAAAATCTTTTTTCCTTGCTCAAATAGTGTAAGCAAATGGATTCTTCATCCTTTGCTTTTGCCTTTTGAAATCATACTAGCTCTGCTCTATTCACGAATTCTGCATCTTCCACAAAAGCCTTCTGTCTTAACACCACCCATCCTATCCTCTGTCTCCTTTCCCGCCTCATTTTTTCCTTATGTAATGAGTACTTTACTCAATTGAATTCTCTCTCATATGAGAACTGGTGTGATAGTGATGATAGCAGTAGTCAGGCATGTTTTCAAAACAGAGCTGTCCTGTACATTATAGGATGTATACTCACATCTCTGGTTTCCTACCCAATAGATGCTAAAAGCACTTCCAGTTGTGATGACTAAAAATGTCTCCAGTTTTTAGATGTCCTTTGCTTGAGGGTAGGGGACAAAATCACTCCCAGTTGAGGACCACTCTACTGGAGCAGTGCTGTCCAATGAAAATATAATATAAACCACATATGTAAATTAAAGTTTTCTGGTAGCCACACTAAAAAAGTAAGAAGTATGTGGGCTGGGGCTGTAGGTCAGTGGTAGAGTGTTTGCCTTGCATGTGTGATGCACTGAGTTCGATCATCAGCACCACATAAAAATAAATAAATATATTGTGTCCATCTACGGGTAAAAAAAGTATTTAAAAAATAAGAAGTATGTGTGCACTACTAAATATACTAATATTTTATATGGTGTGCTGCTTAGAAAATAATTTATACCGCTTTAGTTTGTACATTAAAATGAAATAAGATAAACTAGTTCTTCAGTCATACTGCCCACATTTCAAGTCTTAGAGGTCTCATGTGGTTAGTGGCCATAAATTTGAATAAAGGAAAGTGTAGAGTTTCCTACTTGAGTTATTCATAGTGAACCGACAATCTTAATTTGTGCATCTCAGTAGCCAAGACATGTTGCTGGGAATGAGGTTTCCACTGCTCAACTCCACTAAAATTTGGTAGACCAAGGCTGGTGAAGAAAAGCAGGTTTATTAAAACAGGCTTTGAGGAAGACAGAGGAGATCTTTTTCTGTTGCAAATCTCTGTCTTCAAGGGCTCAGGGACCCTAAGAGAAGAGGAGGTTCAGTTGGACAAAAGGCAGGAAATTCTCTCTCTCTCTCTCTCTCTCACACACACACACACACACACACACACTTGAGCTGTACTAGTCAGAAATATGTTTCAGTTCCTTGATGCCTCCGTGGGCCAGGGGATAGCCTTTTAATTTTTATTCTGAGGTGGAGAAAAGTCCAGATGCAGAAAGTGGTCATCAGGAAGTTGTATTTAATTTTAAAGAGGCTCTGTTTCAAATATGGAAAGGAATATTTATTCAGTCAGCTAGGTGATCGGCCTTCAGTGATACTGGGGACGATGAATCAGATTGTTCCTCACATATTCATTAGTAGAACTAATGGTATTATCCCCAATATTGCCTGATTTCTTCCTCATCATTCATCCATTCACCCACCACTTTGCCCATGTTTTGCTTTTTCCTTTCTTCCTGTTTTTCTTCCTATCTAAATATGAGGTGAAGAACTTATAAGACTTCAAAGAAATTTCTTTTAAACTTTTGCTAACTACAACATAGAGAATCTTGAAAATAGAGGAGAAAAATATTTCAAGCTCTTAGAGCATGAGTTTTAATTGAAGGGCTGGGGTTGTAGCTCAGTGGTAGAGTGCTTGCCTAGCATGAGCGAGGTACTAGGTTGATCCTCCGCACCATATAAAAAACAAATGCATAAAAAATAAAGGTTAAATTCTTAAAAAAAATTTAATTGACCACATGTTAAAATATCAGGGGTAAGAAACCGGAATAGATTTATTTTAAAACTTGTACATTTTATCATTATAGAAGGACATTCTGAAGATCTAAATAAATTTTTTCATATAAAAAGTGAGAATTTCAGGCTAGGGTTGTGGCTCAGTTGTAGAGCACTTGCCTAGCATGTGTGAGGCACTGGGTTAGATTCTCGGCACCACATTAAATAAATTAATTAAGTAAATAAAAATATTGTGTCCAACTACAACTAAAAAAAAATTTTAAAAAGTGAGAATTTCTATGATTATCATCGGTTCAGCAATTATTCACAAATAATTATTAAATGCTGAATATATCAGGTACCATACTACGTACTAAAAATAGAGTGATGGACCAAACACATAATTGATAGTCCTGTAACTGTTAAGAAGATTGAATTTGTAATTTCAAAACTCCTGAAAAAGAAATCTCAAGACCCAGATGGTTTCACTCAAGAATCCTATCAATATTTTAAAAAGAATTAACTCCAATTCTATACAGTCTGTCCAGAAAATTGAAAAGAAAGAGTTGAAAGTAATATTATTGTGATACCAAAATTAAAGACAATATCAAAAATAAACTTTAGACCTCCTAGGAATATAGACACAAAAATTCTTAACAAAATATTAGCAAATAGAATTCATTGATACATAAAAGTAATTATATGCCATGACCAAATGGAGTTTATTCTAGGGATGAAAGGTTAAGTATTCTAAAATCAACCAGTGTAATCCACCATACTATCAGGCTAAAGGAAAAACCAACGTTTCATGATAAAGCATTTGACAAAATTGAACATGCATTCTTGTTTTTCAAGATCCCAGAAAAATAACTTAGTTGAAAAATCCTACATCAGACATTATACTTGATGATAAAAGGCTAGAACCTTCCCTCCTAAGAACAGGAATAAGTTAAAGAAATCCATTGTCATAGTGTTGGAAGTTCTAGCCAATTCAATAAGACAAGAAAAAAGAAAGGCATAGAGATCAGAAAGGGGGGGAAAAAAACCAATTTTTATTTGTAGATAGTGTGTTTGTCTGTATCCCAAGAAACCTACCAAAAACAAAACAAAGCAGAAACAAAAACAAAATAAAAACCCAAAAACCCTTTAGAATTAATCGAGTTTACAGGATATAAGATAAATTTAAAAATTAATTGTTTTTCTATATATTAGGAGTGAACACCTGAACACCAAAATTGCAAATATGGTACCATTTGCATTCACCCACAAGAATTGAAATAGATGTAAATTTAACAGAACTTGTGTAGGAATTATATGCTAAAATCCACAAAATGTTATTGCAAGAAATCCAAGACTTAAATAAATGGAGAGACATACTGTGTCAAGGATTAGAAGACTCAACATAGTAAGGATGTCAGTTTTCTTCAAATTGAGCCAGGTGTAATGGCACACACCTGTAATCCCCATGACTTGGGAAATTGAGGTAGGATTGCAAGTTTGAGGTCAGTCTAGGCAACCTAGACTTTGTCTCAAAATAAAAAATAAAAAGGGCTGGGGATGTAGCTTGGTGCAAATTTTCTTTAATCCAATATACAACTTAATTCAATTCTCATCAAAATCTTGGTAAGATTTCCTTATAAACAAGATTATTCTAAAATTTATATGGAAAGGGAAAGAACTAGAATAGAAAGAACAGTTTTTAAAAAGTGAGGAAAATAAACCTATCTGATTTCAAGATTTATTACACTGCTACAGTAATCAAGAGGTATGGAATTGTTGGAATATCAATACAAAGGTTAATGCAACAGAATAGAGAACCCAGGCATAGACCCACAGAGATATGCCCAACTGATTTGCAAGGTGCAAAAGTGATTCACTGAAGGAAAGATAGCCTTTTCAGCAAATACTCCTACATTTATACGTAGATAAAAATGTGAGTCTTAAGTCTCAGATTTCATATAGGAATTAACTTAAAATGGATCACAGACCTGAGTATAAAACAAACAAAAATTTAGAAAACCCATACATAATTAGGATCTAGGGCTGGGCAAAAGGGTTTTAGGCCTCATGCCAAAAGTACCATCCATATGAGAAAAATTTGACGAATTGAATGTCATCAAAATTAAAAGTTTTTGCTCAATAAAAGACCCCATTAAGAGGATGAAAAGATAAGCTGCAAGGTAGAAGAGAATATTTAGAAACCACATACCCAACAAAGGACTAGTATCTAGAATATATATAAAGATCTCTCAAAAACTCAAGAGTAAAAAGCATGTAATCCAGTTTGAACATGGGCAAAAGACATGGAGAGCTGTTTTGCAAACAGAATTACACTTGGCAAATAAGAAAAGTGTTTTGACATTATTAGCTATTAGGTAAATGCAAATTAAAACCACCAGGAGATATCACTACATTCCTGCCAGAAGAGCTTAAAAAAAAAAAAAAGTGGCAATACTGAATTCTGGCAAGGATATAGAGAAATGGGATGGGTCATTCTGACATTGCTTGTTTGGAATGTAAAATGGTACAGGCATTGTGGAAAAATGTTTGGCCATTTTTTATGAAACTTCCATATAACCTAGCAATTGCATTCTCAAGCTCTTGGGCATTTATCTCATAGAAATGAACTTACATTCACACAAAAACGTGCACAAGTGATTTAATACCTGTCTTTCATTGAGTGAATAGTTAAATAAACCATAGTAGATCCATAGCATGTACTAAGCAATAAAAGGAACAAAATATTGATCAGTCTCCAGAGAATTATACTGACTAAAAAAAGAGTTTATAAAGATTACATACTATACAATCCTATTTATAAAGTTTTTTTTTTTTGTGTGTGTGTGTGTGTGTGTGTGTGTGTGTGTTTGGCAGTACAAAGCTTGAACCCAGGGGGACTCTACCTATGAACTATATCCCCACCCCTTTTTATTTTGAGACAGGGTCTTGGCTGGCCTGGGATTTGAGATCCTCACGCCTCAGCCTCCTTGAGTAGCTAGCATTAGAAGTGTGTGCCTGTGCACCTGGATATGTACCATTCTTAAAATGGCAAAATTACAAAACTGGAAATCATGATTAGCAGCTGCCAATGGCTGATCAGGAGATGAGAATGGGAGAGAAGTTATGTATGAGTTTAAAAGGTATAATGGTTATGGAAATGTTCTGTGTCCTGATGGTATCCTGATAGTGATATTGTGCTCTGGTTTTACAAGATGCTACCATGGGTCTGGGATAAAGATAAAGCATATGTGAAACCTCTTTGTATTACTTATAAGAATTACATGTGAGATTGTATTTACTTCAGAAGAAAAGTTTAATGAAAGTAAGCCAATGAGAGAGTAAATTTTGTGCCAGAGGAATATCTATAAGCCTTAGTTTTCCTCTACCATCCTTTCCTGCTGTAGTGTCTCAGAAGTCTTATTATGCCCTAGACCTTGCTACTTCCTATCTTCTCCAGTGCCTTCAAGAATCCCCCCACCCTTTTTTTTCTTTTGGACACAATACCTTTATTTTATTATTTTGTTTTTATGTGGTGCTGAGGATCGAACCCAATGCCTCACACATGCTAGGTAAGTGCTCTACCACTGAGCTGCAATCCCTTTTTTGACATTTTCCCCTCTCTGTTAGCTCCTTCTCTTTTGCCTATTAAAGGATTTGCCTCTTTCACTCAAATAACTATAACAAACAAAAAAACTAAATAAAGCAAGCACTATTTCCCTTTGCTTCTCTTTCACACTTTTGTAACCTTAGGAATCTTCTTTGGCATTTGTTTCTTCCTCAGCTTCAATATCCAGTCCATTTGCAAGATTTGTCATTTTACTTCTTAGGTATCTCTGCAATACAACCATGCGGTTACTAGGTATTCTTAGCTATTGTCACTTCAGTCGCTGCAGTAGCCTCCTGTTCTTGCCACATGTAATCTTGCCTCATTCCAAATATATCTTCACACTCCTGCCAGAGCAGCCTTTCAAAGTTCATCATATGACCACCAACCCCTAACCCACTTTTAAACATTTTTTAATGGATTTCTATTGTTCAAGATTAAGGACACAGATTCTTAAAACGGCTTTACTTCTGTCAAGCTAGCAATTATTTGTTAAATGAAACAGAGTCTCCATCCTTACGTTTATCATCATTCAAGAGTAAGTCAGTACTTTGCGCCTTCTTATTACTGCTATAGTTAGTTGTTTGTTTTTCAGTTCTGAGTCATTGCAATAACTTCATGACCAAACTTCAGATTCTAGTCTTTTTCTATTCCCTCTGTTTCTTCACAAAATCTGATGATGCCATTAATTTTCTTAAAAGCCTTCCTCCCCTGCTTCTACTTTGGTAGGGGAAAGTCTCCTTAGCATACCAAGCTCTTGCATATTGACCAAAAGCTGCTTAGGGACATACACAGCCCTCATTTTCAGCTACACTGAACTGAACTTGGGTCCCTTTGCCACACATACTTTTTCACGTATTCTTCCTTTTGTCTGCATATTAGAATATTGGAGTTCTAAAGACTTGGTTGTTTACTGTGAGTCATCAACATGTTAAATGAATTCTACCACCCAAATGGATATTCTTCCCAGTCTTCTTTTAAAAAGAGTAAAATCGGGCTGGGGATGTGGCTCAAGCGGTAGCGCGCTCGTGGCATGCATGCGGCCTGGGTTCGATCCTCAGCACCACATACAAACAAAGATGTTGTGTCCACCGAAAACTAAAAAATAAATATTAAAAAATTAAATAAATAAATAAATAAATAAAAAGAGTAAAATCAATACCATTTAGAAAGATTGAATACTACTGTACTTGTACTCACCAATGCCAAGTATCCTGCATAGCAAATATCAGGAATAATTTTTAGTATAATTATTAGATAAACTGTCTTGCTTCTGAAAATGTTATATCAATTTGTGTTTCAAATTATGTGCATTTTAGATAGATATTATGTATATATTGCGGATTTCTCATTTGGGAACATTTGTAAAATGCAGGGTCTTAATTTTTGCAAAATTTTCTTATTTAATGAAGCACTAAATCCTGTCGTCTTTTTTTCCTGGACATTCTTGCTCTATTCCATTGTATCTTCTTTATTTCATCACATAAAGTTGGGATTTATAGGTATAATTAAGACCTTTCAGATAGGAATATCACTTGATAAAGTTTAATCATTGACTTCTAGAGTAGTCTTTCTTGGAGAAGTCATCAAACCTGATTCTGGATTTCAGCTTTTCAGGTCCAGACACTCAATCTCGTTTATCAGATTTAGAAAGACCAATTACCTGTACTTAGAACATTCTGAGATTTAAGCCAGAATAGATCTTTCTTTACTTCAAATGGGAAGAATAAATGTAGTAAGGACTAAATAGTTATTTCCTCTGATTTTCCTCCATAAGAAATTTTTCATGAAAAGTCAAATAATAATAATATATTTTTTCTTGGAAATACATACAGATAGAAGTATAACAATACTAAGATTTGGAAAGAATCTAGCTTATAAAATCAGTTTAGACTGGTTTAAAATTAAAATATATTTATTATGTGTTTGATGCTATATTTTGTATTTATGCCATCTATGAAAATAACAAAGTGGCAGCTTTTTTTTAATCCACTTGTAGAATTAATTACATTCCTTGCTTTATGTCAGGTGCCTTTGTAGGTTTGATTTAGTTTACAAATTTACTTTATAAATTTTTAAAAATTTTTATTCTTTTTAGTAACATACATGGACTTTGTAAAAATTTGATGAAACAATTGACTTGTAATTTCTTCCTTGATGTTACAGGATTTAGTGTTTTCTTGGTCATTACCAACAAATATCCTTGTTGGTAATGGCGTGATGATGGCTGATTTGTACACAATATCAGACCTGCTGTCTGGTAGCTGTAATGTCTTTTTCTTTCCGCCTTCCCTCTCCTTTTCTATCCAAGCCACGATAGGAAATTTTCAGTGGGCACTGTCATCCCAGGATTTACTGTTTCTGATCTGACATTATGTACTCTTTATTCTTCTTTTCTTTTCTTTATACTTCTTATCTACTAGCATGGCATAACTGGTGGTCAATCTCAGATTGATTCCAAACTTCAGAATTAAATAATTTCTAAAATACTGGCTGGAGTTGGGAGGCAGGATGGTGAAGTGGAATAAAGGTGATATTCCTTTGATACCTAGAAGTGTCAGAAATAATTCAATGTAACATTTGATTTGTATTTATGATGTTTATGCATATAAAATTGTGAGCAAGACAAATTGGAATTAAATTCTAATAATTTTATGGTAGTTTCAATTTGTGACCATATTCATAATAATACTGTTTTCTCAAGTGTTTTTCCTATTTTATATGCAGAGTTTCTTAGTTATTATTTCCCTCATACTAAAATGTATCCTTGTTTTTTTATGCAGTTCTGAAAGATTGGTCTTGCTGGCAGGTGGTAGTCTGGAAATCAGTGATATCACTGAGGATGATGCTGGGACTTATTTTTGTATAGCTGACAATGGAAATGAAACAATTGAAGCTCAAGCAGAGCTTACAGTACAAGGTATGTAAATATTTACTGTATAAATAAAAATATCCTGTGTCTGCTAATTGTTTTAACATTAAAATAGTTGTGGAAGAAGCAATACAGCATCACAGTTAAAATTCCAAAAAACTTTTAGGGTTGGGGTTGTGGCTCAGCTGAAGAGCGCTCACCTAGCACGTGTGAGACCCTGGGTTTGATCCTTAGCACCACATAAAAATAAATAAATAAAGGTATTATGTCTAACTATCAGTCCATACTAATTTTAAAAAAATCCTAACTTTTAGACCTGTATCCTTGGGATCAAATTCTGGGTCTTATATTTCCTAATAACTATATTAATATAGGAGATTTACCTAATCTATCTGAACTTCATTTCCCGCATCTGTAAAGTGGAGATAATAAGAATACCTACCTCATTGACGATTAAGAACTACTCCTTGAAAAATTCCTAAAATAGTGACTAGAATATAAGAGCTCAATGCTAATTATTGATTTTTTTTTTATTGTGATGGTAATAGTATAAGGAAGGACAGTGTGATCTGGGGCATCTGGAAGGTTTTGTTTGCTTTTCTTGTCTCAGTATGCTTTTTCACAAGGTATCTGTTCTCTGATCCAGAACATGTCTCTCTTCAGCATTCCCACTCCCTTCCTTTGGGTAAATAGATTATATAGAAAAGAGCGTGTTATAGTTTGGACATGAGGTGTCCCCCAAAGCTCCTGTTAATGCAGGAATATTCAGAGGTAAAGTGATTGAATTATGAAAGCTATGACCTATCAGTCCATACTAATTTAAATGGATTGACTGGGTGGTAACTATAGACAGGTAGAGCATGGCTGGAGGAGATTGGTCACTGGGGGTGTATCTTAGAAGGTGCATCTTCCCTGTAGTCCCTTGTCTCTTCCCTTGACCTCTCTCTGATCTGCTTTCCTCCTTGGGGCCCTTCCCCCATAATGTGCTGCCTCTTGGGCCTAGAGCAGTGGAGTTGGCTGTCTTTGGCCTGAGACCTCTAAAACCATGAGCCCCAAATAAACCTTTTCTCCTCTAAATTGCTCTTGTTTGATGTTTTGGTCACAATGACAAAAAAGGTCACTAAAACAGGATGCAAAGTACTTTTCTGTGTAATTTGGTTTGATGATTTGATGTTTATTTTGGTCTGTTCAGCTAATGCTGATCATTGCTGCAAGAATAGTTAGTAGTTCTTTTCTTTCTCTTATATACTTGTCTTCCCCCTTATATGTTCCTTGATTTAGCAGTCAGGGAAAATAATGACACGTACTTATAGTTTCTTATTTTCATCTCTCCTGCCATTCCACTATGTGGAAATTACCCTTAAAAGAATATTTGCTCTCTCTGCTATGATTTGTCTGAGCATCATTTCAGAAATTCTTAGGATCTTCTTCATTAATTTTAGAGAAATCCAGCACTGCTTGAATATATAAAGATACAGGCTATCTTGTGTTATCTTTTATCAACTTGTCCCAGATTATATTGCATTTGATAGAATACACTGCAATTTGTATTTTGGAGTTGTTAGCCACCCCTTAGTTCTATTTTACATGAAAGTTTGTTTATTGTGGTACATTTTGTGGGGTTCAGACATGCATGTAGAGTACATACAATCCTACTCCCAGTAGTCACTAGGAGATTCAAATATGTGGGAAAATAGAATAAAAGATAATGACAAGAGCAAAAGTTAATGAAATTAAAAAAGAATTAAAACAATGTCAGCAAAGCCAAAGTTGAGTCTATGTAAAGAATAGCAACATTGATTAACCTCCGGCAAGACTTACACAACTTGGCAAAGGTCTTTATCTGCATCAGTGGTTGGCAACTTACAGTTTAATGGATCGTATCTTTCTGACTGCTTTTTTTTTTTTTTAATAGACTATAAGCTAAAAGTAGTTCTTAAACATTTTTAAATTGTTGAAAAATACCAGAAGAATAACATGTGATACATGAACATATTGTGATACATGAAAATTTTATGAGACTCAGATTTTGTTGTTCATAAATAAAGTTTTATTGAAACACACTATAATCATTTATGTATTATATAAGAACACTTTCATGCTGTAACACAGAGAATTGAATAGAGACACTTTGGCTTACTAAGCCTTAAGTATTTACTCTCTGGTCCTTAACAGAAAGATTTGTAACCCCAGATATAGTCTTGAACTTCTGCAGGCTAGTAAGGTAAACAAAGACTGATAAAAATGGACAAAACACTGGGGTAGTTACCTCACAGGACATCTCTAGGTAGCTACTAAATATTTTAAAAAGTGGTTTTATCATCAGTCTTCAGAGAAATGCAAATAAAACCATGCAATATCATTATTCTCCACTAAAAAGACCAATAATATTAGATGTTAGTTAGGATAAGAAACATGGGGATCTCTAATGAATTGCTGAAAGTAGTATACACTGATATAATCACTTTAAATTACTGTTTTGTAGAATCTGTTAAAGTTGCATACAAAAATATCTCATGAAAAGAGTATTTCTATATTTATCAGTATATACATTAAAAACACTAAATAAAGTCCTTAATCAGCTGTATTCACAGTAAATCAAAACTGGGACTAATTTAAATGTCCCCTCAAAATTCAAACATCAAATGAGCAAACAATATTCCAGTCATACAGTGGCATATTATTTGCAATGAAAGTTGACAGACAGCTACTACATTTGACAAGAGTAAATCTCACAAACACCCTTGAAAGAAAGAAGCCAGAAACAAGAATACATACTATATAAGTTTGTTTTATTAAGTTCAAAAACTTATGTATATTCTTAGAAGTCAGGACAGTGATTACTCTTGGAGAAGGACAGTTATGACTGAATATACAGCCAGACTTCTGGTGTACTAATGTTTTCTTTCTATACTGTACTTTCTGAAGTGAAATCTGTACAGCTCAAGTTCTGCTCTTCATATATGCCATGTAAGGCCTTCTCTCCATTTTTTCAAAGAGAGAATTCATTATGTTAAAAACATATTTGGAAAATTTTGTTTTGAGCCCATCCCATAACTGAAAGGTCCCCCCCACTACCCCCAATAGGGAAAGTAGTTTATGAGAAATAATTGGAGATATATAAATATAGTCATGCTTGTCTGACTTCTGTTATTTTTTTAAGAAGTTATAGTTCCAGGAAATGCCATAGTGAGTGTTAATGCAGAAAAGGTTATAAGTTCATTCTTCATCTGTTAAATATTTCAAATGTATTATCTTATCATTAACTCCTGGGATTTCTGCACATGCTGTGACGTGAATTAGCCTGTTGTGTATTTCCTGTCATCTCAGATTGTTGATAACAGTTAAAATGGGTGATGAATTGTTTTGTCTTTTTTTTTTTAAAGCAGGAATTTTTCCTTTTCTATTAATACAGTTGTATTGGTCTGTGATCTACATCTCCCATCCTCCATCCAAAAAGAAAAATTTCCGTTCTTGTTTTTATGGAAAAAATTGATAAATTCTAAATTGGCTGCCTTCTTGACATTGTCATTACTTCTAACTAATCTATAACATTTTAAACTCCATCGTCTTTTTTCTACTCTACTCATTTCTAGCCACATTAAGACATTGGTTTCCCTTTTTTTCTCCCAGTCTTCTTTATGATAATCATAACATCCACCTGCCTTTCATCGAACTCTCCACGCTTTTGGCTTCAGGATAAAAAGCAAATTCCTTATAACATATATACATTCAGAACCTCCATAGTCAATGTTGAAAAAGTTGTTTACTAGGGAGTCACCACAGAGTAGTGGTTAAGAGCAGTATCTACTCAGTGTGCCTGGAGGCCAATTTAAACTCTGGATACTGAGCTATATGAACTTAGCCAGATTATTTAACTTAACCTGTGTTTTAGTTTAGTTTAGTTTTTTTTTTTTAAATCAGTTAAATGGGTTCTTGTAAGGATTAAGCAAATTCCTGGCACTTTCCGTATAAATCTGGGATGAATAGCAGTTATCTTCACTAAACTGCATGTAGGTTTTCCAGTGTACTATACTGTTTGACAACAGTGTTCTCTTACCCTCAACTACATTTTCCTAATAGACCTTCAAGGTCAGTTTACCTAACCGCCCCCCCTCCCCCAAGATTTTGTTAACCAAAACAAAAACTTTTTCATCCTCAGCCATAATTAGTATCTTAAAATGACTCTTTACCAGTAGTACCTTTTACTTATTAGTTAGTATGCATGTTCCTTCTACTAGACTGGGGTCTTTATCAATAGGGGCTGATCTTAATCATTTTTATCATACACTAGTAACAAATAATTGTTGAATGAATGAGTAAAACTTTGTATTGAAATTGCTAAATATGGAAGCTGGAGTGATTTGTTTATGGTTATTATTATTTATGTTTTCTTTGCACCTTGTTTTTCATTGACTTTCAGTGGTATAAGTAACTGAGATTTTAAGAAAAAAAAAAGAAGAAATTGGGATTTAAAAAAATCTTCTGAAAGGTTTTCCCAGAGGCAGATGGAACATTACCCTTACTTATATAATTGAGGTCATAATCCTCATTTTCATGTCATAAATGTTCATAAACAGTGCTTGATCAATTTTATTCTAATTTTTGACTTTTTAAGGCCTAAGTCAACATGATTTTTTATTTTTCCAAAAAATAATGAAGCCAAGGCCTGGGAGGTGTATTTCAGTGGTAGAGCACTTGTGTCACAATGCCAGGAGACCCTGAGTTCAATCCCCAATAATGCAAAAATAGAACTAAACCTGAAACCATTAAAAATGAACTTTCCTCCATCTCTGCTGCTTAAAACCCTCTTACCTTTATTTGCTATCCTGATTCAAGTATCTGTGCGTTGAATCCCTTCATCTTTAATTCCACCTCTATGAGATGCTCCACTGGTTTGACTGGATAACATTGTTTGATGTTTTTTCCTTTTATTTCTCTGTCCAGTTAATTTTTTCTTCATGGGAATCTTTTATTCTGCTTGCTTATTGAAATATTGGTGTTCTAAAAAGGTCTGTCTTCATTCTAACAGTCTTCACACTGTTAGC